CCATCCCAGAATGCTAGCTCAAGAAACTCTAGATATTGTCATGGAGGTATGTCATCTTCCTCTAACTAGAATTCTCTTGCCTTGGGAAATCAGAAAAGCCTTTTATCAGTACTTGATAACTTGAGTTACAGGACTAGGACTAGGGTGAAGCAAGCAAAGCATTTAAGGTGCAAAATTTAAGGAGACTAGAATATCATTTGATCATTGAAAGAAATAAAGTACCAATGCATGCTACAACACAGATGAACCTTGAAAACATTATGCTAAGTGAAAGAAGCCAGTCACAAAAGACTACATATTGTATGATTCCATTTATATGAAATGTCCAGAATAGGAAAATCCATAGAGATAGTAAATTAGTGGTTGTCTAAGACCGTGGGGAGTGGGGATAAAGTGCACTGTGGGTGCTAATGTGTACTGTGGGGCTTCTTTTCGGGGTGATGAAATGTTCTAGAATGGATTGTGATGATGGTTGCACAACTCTGTGAATAGACTAATTATCATTGAATGGTACACTTTAGATCGGTGAATTGCATGGTATGTGAACTATATCTCAATAAAACTATTATTAAAATAAATAAACAAACAAGAGACACAGCTGTCCCTCAGCTGGCAGTTTCTCTTGAGCCTTTCACTAAAGTTGGCTTTAGCTTAAAACAATTTGCATACCACAGAGGCACATTTTGGGGTGACTCATTCTGGACCCCACACTACTCACAGTGGAACTCTAATTTCTTCATCTAGGCACTTGCTAGAAATGCAAAACATCTAGCCCCACCCAAGACCTACTGCAGCAAAATCTGCATTTTCTCAAGGTTCCCAGTGATTATCATGCATACTAACCAAAGCAAAACCACCCCAGACCCACTGAGGCATTATCCGAATTTCACAAGATCCCCAGCAACTATTATGCATAGTAAAGCAGTGAACTCCCCAACTAGCTGAACTTTCCACATTTATCAACTTTTGTAAGTATTGCATATGAAACTTATCTTCTCTTAAATGTTCCAACCATCTATGTAAATTTAAGACACTTTACTTTCTACTCATAAGTTTAATTCAATTACTTAAGTATACATTTCGAATTGGCATTAGAAGGCTATTCTGTTAATCCAACTGTACAAATTTTCTCAAATATAAATACACAAAATATCAAATATGCATTAACTCTTTCTTATCCTCATATTTAATATTATAATTTTGAAATAGCACAAACTTTTTAATACTTAATTTTAATTATTTCTGGGTTTTAAGGGAAGCTTATCTACAAAAAATAAACAATTATATCATCCCACATAATTTTAGTTCACTAGTTAATTTTATTAAATATTTAAAGAACTAATTTCAATCCTATGTAATCTCTGTCAGAAAATAAAATAGAGTGAAGGAACATTTCCCAACTTATTCTATGAGGGTGCTATTTCCCTGATAATAGGAAACTACAGACTAATGTCCCTCGTGAGCTTAGATGCAGAAATCCTTTAAAAAAGTATTAGCAAACAATTCATGAGTATATAAAATTATTACCACTATAATCAAGTGGGTTTTATCTCACATAATTTTGAAGGTTATAGTCTCATGTAATTTTCAGTACCATTCTACCATCCTATATAATAAAAGGGTAATATGCAAATTGACCCTAACAGCAGAACAACCAGAACGACCGCTCGACCAGTCACTATGAGGCACACTGACCACCTCTTGGTCCCTTTCTCCGGCTGGCAGGCTCCCATCGCCTGATGGTGAATGGGGAACTGGGGTGGGTGGTGGTGGGGGGTGGGGTTGGCTGCAGGCAGCCAGGGAAGATGGCCCTGATCACAGGCCAGGCCTAGGGACTGTACCCACACAGAAATTTTGTGCGCCGTGCCTCTAGTTAGATAATACAATGTTGACAGATTGGATTCTCGATATCTCTTATGGCGTTGTCTAGTCAGTCAGAACTTTAATGTGAAGTCCTTGTACTGAGGGGTGACTTTCATTATTATTAGTGTAAGAAGAAGCATAGCAGGATTATGTAGAGTAGAAGGTACAATGGACATCTAAAGGAGTCTAGGTTGGTGTGGGAGAATCAGGGACTCATGTTGACTCTATAGAGTATGGTTTTGTGCCTGACAAGAGAGCAGGTATGATGAAATATTCCAGAAGGAGAGGGAATGTAATGTGTAATGTGAGCTCTGTCTTTATTCTAATTGAAAGGAAGTGGGCAAGAAACCAAGAGGGAGAGCTACATGAGCAAGTTCAAGCTAAGGATGCTTTTCCTTTAAGACAGTGCACTAACAATAAATATAAAGCCCTCACTCACCCCTACACTTTACCTCAGGCGGATGCTTAACAGGGTTAGTTTCTTTGTCCTGTAGGGAGAATTATTTTTAAATAACCACACCATATAGTAATAATATTTTTCTTTTATTTTGTTTTTAATTAGGAACTCAAGATCAGAAGTAGGCTCCCTCACTACTTTGGAAATAAGCAGCACATCTGACTGGCTCCCAACGATTTCAGAAGAGTCATATTTTGTTAGCTGGACTAATTGTGGTTACTTTATTCTCTCCCTGATAACTTTCGTTTTCCTCCCATGAAACATCAAGGACTTCCTGTAGGGCAAAGATGATGAGAGCAAGTGGGATGGGCTAAGACCGTGAGGGGAAGCAAACTTTGCCACCCCAAAATCAGCCTCTTTAGGATATGGACTATTTTATAGTGGTTATTTTTCAAGAAACAAACGACTCAGGAAAAACCTTTAAACTTCCTCCTAATTGCCTAAAAGAATTTTGGTAGAGGCCCTGCTCTAGAAAGGGAGGTAATAAATACCATACATAATAAGTTTAACATGAACTAGTGTGTGATAGATAGCAGGAAGCTAGCAAGGCCCCTTTAATCAAAGTCCTCTCTGTGTCCCATCATTACAGATGGCCCAGCAAACATTGATTCACCATTATTTGCTTTTCCTTCTCCATGTGAACTGCCTTCCTGTCCTTTGAAGTTCCAAACCACAACCCCCACTTATAAGGCATATTATGATGTGTCTTTATGGTCAGCCATACAAAATATGAATTCATTGAGAACAGTTCCAGGCTGCAGACAACTGCCTTTGAGTATTTAGCAAACTAGTTTGAGGATATATAGTATTATTCATATAATGTAACACGTGACCTCCAATAACTAGCTACTATTTATTGAGCAACTATGGAATATGCATTGTGTGTGTGTCCATTAGGATATGAACTATTTTATAATGGTTATTAGCATGCACACGCGCACGCATGCACACACACACACACACACACACACACACACAAACACCAGCCCATTATTTTATTTATTTATTTATCACACTAGAGACCCGGTGCATGAAATTCGTGCACAGGGGGTGTGTGTCCCTCAGCCCAGCCTGCACCCTCTCTAATCTGGGATCCCTCGAGGGATGTCAGACTGCTCGTTTAGCAGTCGTACATCCCTCTCACAATCCGGGACTGCTGGCAGACTGCCCGTTTAGCAGTTGTACATCCCTCTCACAATCCGGGACTGCTGGCTCCTAACCACTCGCCTGCCTGCCTGCCTGATCACCCCCAATCACTCCCCTGTCAGCCTGATCGATGCCTAACTGCTCCCCTGCTGGCCTGATCGCCCCCAACTGCCCTCCCCTGCAGGCCATCTTGTGTCCACATGGGGGTGGCCATCTTGTGTGTTGGAGTGATGGTCAATTTGCATATTACTCTTTTATTAGATAGGATAAGCCTGGGAGAGGACAGCACTCTTTTTCTTTCCCTCTTTTTTTAACCTACGAGGAAACGGAGGTTTAGAGAAATTAAGTGACTCCCCCAAGGTCATCCATCTAGAAATAGGAGGGGTCAGATTTTGAAGCCAGGCAGAGAGGGGTCTCAAGGCAAAAGCAGCACTAGTTCAGTTTGTATTGTATGTTAAGGACAGAGATATTTATATTTTTTACTGCAACCACAGGGAAGATATTTCATGTACATGATCCTCATCTTCTTTATCTGCAAAGTGGCTCCTCCTTCATTGGGTCATTGGGAGAGTGAATGAGCAAGTGCAGGCCAAGTACTGTTAAGCACATTCCTAAGCTCCCTAAGACTCCCAAGGTCAACAAGTGAATTAAAAATAAACTGACATCACTGGTAACTCCAGAGAGGGGGCTCAGGTCCGTTAAATCCCAGGATCTATGATGATTATGGACTTCACTACCTTTATTAAAACCAACCAAGCTCTGGCCGGTGTGGTTCAGTGGTTAGAGCGTGGGCCCACACCAAGGGTCATGGGTACTACCAGGGTCGCAAGTTTGATCCCCCTGCCCCCCAAGGCGTGTGCCGGGATGTGGTCATTTCTTTCCCCCTCTGGAAAATATGTCCTTGCGTGAGGATTAACAACCCCCCCCCCCCCCCCCCATAAAAGACACACACACACACACACACACACCAACCCACCCTGAAATCCAGAGATCAAAAAATTGTGTCAATCCCATTGCTGCTAAATAGATTTACCTGGCCACACTCTTTTCCTTAATTCTATGGGGCTTCCCAAGGGTTTCTTGTTTTTTGGCATGTGAAGGTCTGACTCAGCGCTTGGTGGACACACTGGGCTTGAAATTAGAGAACGGAGACGCAAAACCGTTCAAAGAGTGGCCCTTTCCCCTGGGAAAGACTGTCACACGCCACGTCTCCTCCCTCCGAGGAACCCGGTAACAGACGGGGTGGTGTCCAGTCCCCCTCCTCCCCCGCCGCCAATTCAGGCACCGCA